GAAGGGCGGGGCTGCTCGGGGGGGTGGGGAACGGCAGAGATAGCGGGGACAGTGAGCTGGAGGGTCGCAGTGACAGGAGGAGCAGGGCCCGGTGGTGGGGCGCCTGCAGCAGCGTCACTATCCCCGTTACCGGTGGGTGTCACTGCAGGACAAGGAGCGTCCGATGCCGGAGCGCGGCCGGGGCTGCGCGGGGATCGGGACCCAGGTACCGCCTCGGGGGAAGGAATGGAAGGGGACAACCGGCAGATATACAAAGGCTTAAATGATAAGCCTTAAATTAAAGTTGACTTTTGAGTGAACTTCTCAACCTGTACCGTAGTAGCATGAAATGGGATCGTGAAAGTCTTTTCCCAACCTGTATCACAGCAGCATGAAATTAGACTGTGAGACATTTCCTCCTAGCATCCAAAGCCAGGTGCAGAACACCAAAACAGCAGCTTCTCAGACATATCTCGGATCCTGGCCAAATCCAGGATGTGCCTGTGTGAAGTGAAACTTACCCACCAGATGTTACCGTGCCTTTCTGTCTCTGTAATTTGTTTATTAGATGTATAAAAGCAGGACCCTCTCACAGTGAAGATGGAGAGCTCACCTACGAGTGCACTGCGTAGGACTTCTCAATCACTGGGGAAAGGCTCTTCAGTCCTTCGCTGTGATGGGCCTCCCCAGCTGATGCATGGATCTGGGTGATGATCAGTATTTGTGCAACTGGTGCTGTATCTTTCTAAATCGCTCTGTTTTCTCTTCTGTAGCAATGATTGGGTGCATCCCCCTGTTTCACTCTGTGCCTTGATTATTCTTGTTTTTCCCCTGTGTTAAACTAGAGTAAAATAAGTTTGTTTCCAGTATTAAGTTGGTGTTTATGCCCTTTTTGCTAACCCTGTCAATTTGCAGAACACAGGCCTGAGGCTTGGTTGTGCCCCTCGTGAGCCCGGGGCTGCAGGTGGAGGAGGAGCAGGGCGGTGGTGGGGACACCTCCTAGGTGGCATCTCAGGTTGGCGGTGAGGTCACCTGGCCAGCTCCAGCCCCCAGGCAGGTGGGACCTCCCCACATGGGGTGCAGGTGGATGCCCATGCAGCAGGGAGCCCATGCTCCTGCCAGACAGCCCATCTGAGCTGTAAGACTGGGGCCATTTGGGGCAGGACTCTGTGCAGGATATTGGGGTGCAGTGGGGCAGGTCTGTTGGTCACAAGCCCCATGGAGCAGTGTCTCCTTCCAAACACACTTCCTTTGACTCGGCTGTTACTTTTTGGGTTTCTGATCTCTTTACTGGCATCTTGGACCTGTCTGCAGGTCTGTATGGGCTTGGTTCCCACCACATTTTTTTGCCAGCCCTTTTCCAGGTGTGCAGGATTCACTGGAGATACTTCCTTCCCTGTGCACACCCCAAGGACCTGAGCAGTTGCTGCAGGTTGGCACAGATGCTGTGGCTGGACCAAGAGCTGGATGTAGGTCCCGCCAAGCAGGAGAGCAAACTTTGTGCCTGGGTTTCTCATACACTTGTAAACGGTGTCATTTTTAGCAAGAGAAGTTGTTTAAGGCCCAGCTTCCTCCCTCCCTGGGGAGGTGGGAAAAGTCTCTGGTTATAATCCACCCTCCCAGCATGGCCAACCCCTACTGTCATCTTCCAAGTTATTTCAGATGGTTTTTATTTAGAGGCCTGTACTAAAAAGAGGGAACCGCAATAGCAGGGTTTCCCTCGTGTGGAGCAGGTGACTTCTTTCCTCTCTCAGCTCAGGTGTGGGCAGGGTGGAGTTTGCTACAGCTGCCTCCTTATATAAAGAGCAGGTTGAGGGACAAGCTGTCCCTAAGGAGGAGCTGCTGGAGATGTCAGAATTGCTGGTGGAGCCTTCTTTGTTCTGAGAGGGGTAAGAAAAGCTGCCCCTGCAGTTTATTTTGTTCTTGTGTCTTGTTTAATGTTATGAAAGACTCTGCTCTTTGAGGTTTTGGTTCAAAAGTTTGGCTGGAAATCTGGTGGGGTGCAAGCCCTGGGCTCAACATGGCTTCCTCATGTCCCTTGGCTGCTGGTGGGTCTATGTAGGAGTACTGGGCTAGTCAGTGCTGAGGTGTGTGGGGCAAAGTCATGCTGGGCACATCCACCCTGCTATAGTGCTTCTTATTGGCCCCTTCCTGATCTGGGGATGCAGTTGGGGTTGCCCAGGACAGCAGATCTTGCCTCTCAGAGGAGGGTCCTGGGGTGCTCAGGCCGTCCTGGGGTGAACAAACACCCCTGAGCTCTCTGAGTGCAACCAGGATGATGAATACGATGAAAACTGAAAACTAACATTAAATTTAAATATTACCTGGTACAATCTGAACTGTAACAGTAGGTGAGAGAAGCAGACTACATAGGAGTAATTAATTATTCCTCTAGCAATCTTGGAGCTGCACAGTGAAGGAATCACAATTATTTCCAAGTGATATTTTCTTAAGGTGAAACACCCTCTTGGGTGGAGATGGATTTTAAATGTGTTGGTACCTGTCTGAGCCTCTGCTGTCACCTATTGGTGATCAAGCTGGGGGTTGTGTGCTGTCATGTTGAATTGGTGTTGGTGGAGTTTGAGTTTGTTCAGCAGCTGCTTGGGGAGGCTTAGCCCTGGGACACCAGGCACCAGCAGGTGTTTGAGGATAAGTGTGGAACTGGTTGGAGCCCTCTTCAAGTGAAGCCATTGCTCTGAGGTGGGGCCTCTATTTGGCAGAGCACTTTAAAACAGGTGTTTGGATGCCTTCACACAGGCAAGGGCTTTGCTGAATCAGGCAGTGATGGGAAGCTTATTTGGCAAAGAAATGAGAAGGACTGATGGCTTGTGAGATATTGTAGACTTGATATCGACTGGGAAATGCTTCATTTAATATATTTGTTCAGAACAGACAGTGAACGAGACTATTCTGCTTTCCCTCTGGGGCTGTACTGGTGCAAATGCTGTTCTTTTACTGGTGTGAGTGCTGTTACCTTGAGCATGATGAGAATCATGGTGATCAGACCCAGTAAGGTGTTGTGCATCTGACATGAAACAATGAACAGTCTGAGACAGAATCATTCCTCTTAAAATGATTTATTTGGCTATAATCTGCATTAGTGTAACTTTTGAAAATCAAAGATAAAGTCTATTGCCTATGGTGACTGCAGGGTCTCAGGGCTGCGTTGCCCAGCACATTGCTATGGTCCTTGTTGTCTGGATGCCCTGGAGAAGGGACCACGTCTCACAGGCACTTCTCAATGGGAGGCACTGAATGCCTTTTTATGAGTGTCACGGTCTGGAAAAGTACTGAGATGAGGCCCAACCTATAAGGAAAGGAGCAGACAGAGATTGGTTACAGCCAGCAGCCAGCCAAAGAAAACAGGTTGTAGCACAAATAGGGAAGAGACTGCAGATTAGTGCAAGGGGTTTCGCCTGTTTGGGTGGTGTTGCTCCAGCTGAAGTTAAACACACTATTTAAAATGAGGACTGACTTTCTGAGTGACTTCAGGAGATTCTTATTCTGTAGTGTTACTGTGGTGTGCTGGTTGTCTGACATTTTCGAATTCTGGTGTGCCTTAAGGTGGATCCTGAAATAAATTTGACTTGTTTTCTACAACATGGGACTTGTGTGCTTCACTGAGGGGACCAGGATGGACTCAGAGCTCCCAGGGAAGCCTCTGTTGGGGTCAGGGACTCTTGCATGACCTGCCCAGCAAGCAACCACACAAGCAGCCTCTCCCCAGGAATTACCTTTGGCGTGGGGAGGGGGTGAACAAATACCCCTGACAAATGATCAGAAGGGAAGTCATCTGGGGGAGGAAGGTCCCAGGGCCCTTTGGCCGAGTGGTGGGGTTACCCACTGCTGCATGCAGCAAACCTGTGCAGTAGATTCCAGGTTACTGGGATGTGTGAGTGTCTTTATGTATGGAGTGGGTTTACTATGGGGGGGGCCATGGGCTTTACCTGCCCCAAGGTAATTCCTTGTGCCATACATCTGCCTTGTGTGGATGTGTCAAGCTGCCTCCTGCTTCCCCCACCCTGCTCAGCCTGGCTGGATGTCAGGTTTTGCATATGTAAAAATACACAGCAGTCTCTGCCCTGAAAAGCTTGCTAGTGATCTCATTAATCAAGACAAACAAAGCGTATTTAGCTATTCCCCCTCTCTGGAGGAAGGCGTTCAGGTACTTAAATATGCATTTGAGTGCCTAACTTCAGACGTTGTTTCTGGATGTTTTTCCTTTCCCACATGTAGCAGCAGTGACATAACTCCTCCCAGGAGGGAAAGGTGGAGGAGGCAGATCCAAGGGCTGCTAAAGGAGGTGGGTAGCCCCTGGGAGCTGGCGTGGACAATCCCTGGCTGGGCCAGCTCCAGCCTTCCATTAAAGATGCAGGAGTTTTTCCCTCAGAGCTTGGATTGTTAGAAAAATCCAGTGCCTGCAGGTAAGGACAGCTGAGCTGCTTCTCCCGAATGTGTCTCTGTCTCCCCCATCATGCTTCCTGCCCACCAGCACTGGGAACAGGGCAGAGGAAAATTTATGCCTGGGAACTGGGTTGAAGCTGCAGGGTAGAAAACAGCAGTTTGTTCATGCCAATCTTGGTACAAAGCTCCCAGGTGAGAAATATCACACAGAGACACAACTGACAGTAATCAAAATTAGCAAAGCCTTGACAAAGTTGTGAGGGTTGCCAGGTTCCTCCCTCAGCATGAGTAAGTGAGAAGCACCAGGTGTAGGACAGGGGACAAGTGCTGTTTCAAAAAATAAGGAACCCTCTTATAATGAGGGCTAGTAATTAGAGACAAGATAAGGGTGTCCTCAGGTCAAAGGTCTTATGACAGAGACTGGTGTTGAGAAGTCAATACCAGTGATGAATCGTCATCTCTGATTCTTCTAATTCATATTTTAAATGATGAACCCAAAGGTACTTCCTCTAGAGACAGCTGATGATCTTTACCATTACTCTGAAGTGGTTACAGGCTGTTGTGCCAGGATTTTGTCTGAATCATGGATTTGGAGCATTGGCTGTAGCAGGACAGGAATATAGTTTGCAGACACAAGCTTGGTGGTTTTTGCTTGCGGAATGATGGAGCTGCAGTGGTTTGCAGCTGCTGATCAGGAGCAATGTTTTGCTGCTTCTCAGTGCAAATGTTATGGACAAATTAAAGCACTTGCAGCTGGGATGTTGTAATGTCAGTGCTTGCTTCAAAGAATTAGAGGGGCAACAAAAAACCTTATCACTCCTAAAATTTAAATGTGTATTTGGGCATTATTTTCCTTTGGGTTTCTTAGTTATGATAACGTTTTAAATCGTAGGACTAATCACTTGTCAAGCATTAATACAACCACATGCATGTTGCGAGCAGAAGCAGGTCTATTACTGGAGGACTAATAAATCACATGTGAGAGGCAGAAAGGCTGAGCTGGTACTGGGAAGGCAGAGCTCTCCTGATGGCAGCAGAGCATGTACCCCAGAGACTGACCAGGGTTTCGTGGGTGCTGTTAGGCTTGTTGATGCTGAGGTGGGTGCTGGGGTGTGTGTGCTGTAGCTGCTGGGCACTGTGAGCACCCTTGGGTGGTCAGTAAGCTTAGCTTCCTGGGGGCAGTTTTAACTAATATAGCTGGATTAAATGGTTTGTGATGATTTGTAAGAGGTGTCAAGAAAGACCCTGTGAAAAGGGTTGAAGCAAGTAATAAGCTGCACCAGGCTCTCCTCCTGCCCTGGAGGACTCTCTTCAGTTTCACTTTTACAAATTCATATTAAAATCAGTTTTACTAATACTTTTGATTGTGATTCTTTAAGTGATCCAAATAGCTCATTTGCAAAAAACATTGGTGTAGTGGTCAGGATCCTAAATCAGGATTTGTGGCAGATCCATGCTCTGCTGAAGGGAGATGTGGCTGTACCTGCTCTTCTCCCAGCACCTGCCTGGCTCTGCCCGCCTGCTCAAAGACAGCTTCCCAGCCTTGTACAATTTTTCACTTTAACAACAAAGCTGCCCCTAGACTCAGCCTAGTTTCTCCATCATCCATTTGATCGAATCCTTTTAGCAGGTGACAAAACACTTCCTTGAGCTCTCTTTACAGGAAACCAATCTCTATTCCTTTTTCAGAACCTTCCTCATTTACAGAAGTCTAACAAATCCTGGGCTTTTTAAGTCCTCTCCTGTTTTTTTTTCCTCCCCCAAAACAACGGTGCCATGTCTGTAGATTTTTTTTCTTTTGGAGGGGGAAGGAGGGAATAAAATACACAATACAGAGAGGGGTAGGGTGTATACACTGATGCACGCCGTGCCGAGCATCCCTGTACAGACAAAAAAAACCCCCGTGCGCGTGCACATCGAGATGCAAATGATTTCCGTGAAGCTATCACTTGTAAAGCTTGACAGAAAATAATGAGAAACACTAAATCTTTTATAAGGTCAACACTCAAGCAGCTGTCAAACAAGAAAAGAATTTAGCGAAAGATCCGCAAAAACTTCCATCGCCTCATTAAATCCAACAGGGCCGGGGCCCGGCGTGGTGAGGAGGCACCGGGGCGCCTCCGTTTTGTGTCAGTAATTTGTGGCGGAGGAAGAGGGAAGACGAAACAGCCAATGCCGAAGGGGCCTTGGGGGAGGCTGGGGAATCGTTAGTGCGCCAGGAGCGGCCTCCGCTCCTAATTGGAAGCATTGGGCATTATCAACGGAGGATTTGCCTCGGCTCCCTGACAGCTCTCTAGGCCTGGAATGATAGCCCACTTGTCAGTGTAAAAGACCATTAAAAACAAACCATTTTGATTTAATTGGAGGCGGTGCGCTGGGGGCCCAGGTGAGGTGCTTCATCAGCTGATGTTGGCTGCTGATGCCTTTTTCCCCCTGTATTGATGGCTTTTTTTTTTTTCCCCCTCCCTTTCAAAAACTGTCTAGGAAAGAGAAAGAGGTGCTGAAAGATCCTTCACAGCTGCATTGAGAGCGGCTTTCAATAGGGTTGTCAACAAATGCCATGACAAGTTAGAGAGAGGCAGGGATTTTTAAAACAGACGTTATTCTGTCCAAGATGAGCTGCGCTCGGAGGTGTATGTTGGATTATTAGGGTTACAAAAACTGTGGCTTTTCCTGGCAGTAGCGTGCTTAACTGGTTTAATGAATGGGATTGATTTTTCTCTCCCCACCTTTCTAATTCCAACAATGTAGG